ATTTTATAGTTTATCTGTCTATAATTTGACCGATTTATTCTGAAGTGCGCGCATTTTCCTACGTTTTTCCGCTGGCACTTCACCGACAAACAATTAACGAAATTGATAATATCCCTAACGCTCAGTACTATGATGGCATACGTCACTTCAATGAACGGGAAATTTGGTTGATATATCGTTCTTCTACTGAGCCTGAGGTATGAGGCTGAACTGATAAGGCAAGCCATCTGAAATGTTCATGGTATAAATTTTCACATACGTACAATGTACACGACAATCAGCGTTAAGCGTCAATAGCTATAACAACCGGTAGGCAAAATTTATTGCCACATCAATGACATCTATGAATATCTTTCATTAAACGAATGCTCATCTCAGCACAACGCAGACGTATGCTAGATGCTCAAAAACACCAACACCGCTACTTGCTATCCTTTTACTTAGATTTACAAAAGAAATGCCCCATCCATTTCGGCTATCGTGCCCCTAATGACTACCGCTACCTGTATCCGCCTATGTACAGTAATGTCTTGTTAAATAGCATCAATCAACACAGCATTTGTTGTTTTTGATGTTGAAAGGAATACACAATTACGAAAGGAGGCTAAGAAGTTTCCTTTTTACTTCTGTCAAATAGAAACCATCTATTTCTCTGCAGTCAGATACTTAAGGAGCCCATAGTAAATCACGTGTTACATCTAAAGCACTATATACACTAAGATCTTTGGCGCACAGTATACCTAAAGGGTGTAAAAATAAGGAAGATGTTGCGCGTCATTGAAGCTACATCGGAGCATCAACGATAGCTGAACAAGCCGGACACGTCTTCGGAGGATGCGAACCGGTTCTATTCCTTCGAGCACGCTTCATGTCTCTTGGAAATCTCAATGCACTCCTGGCATTGATGCGGATACGGATAAGGCCCTTTAGGACGTTTGATGAGCTGTTGGATGTCCCTTCCTCCGTAAGGCCCTTTCCAAGGAAAGGGTAAACTCGCCCGGGCGAATGCGCCTTTACCGAGGTTTCCATGCAGCTTTCACGCTCTTACATACTTCATCATTTGCACTAGATCCCCCTGCCCTACAGCTGGAATAGAGCCGGAAAGTGACTTTCCGATATCGGTGAGCCAAAACAGCGTGAAGCAGCCCGTCGGACATGGAACTGTTGTAACTTGGCTCCCGTTGCGAGAGCGCTATTGGAGTCACCCGTCATAATGGATCTAGGAGCGCTATTTGATTATGATTTATCTTCATTTGACGAAGCGCTTCTTTGAAACTGAGCGATTCCATTGTGTGAATTTGGACTAAATCACCAAAAAGCTTATTTCGCTATTGAACGACGCTGCATGTACTTGAATACGAAAGGCACTGAATATTGTTTCACTGCCTCCGGGAATGCCACGACGTACGGTAATGGCTATAAAACATGGCAGAGCCTTAATCAACAGCATGTTTCGATATGGTAGCGGCCGCGGCCTAAAGTGCAACGCGCCCAAGGAGGACCCGTAACTGTGAACTTTTGACCTCTATAGATCGTTATTGGGCGACGAGTGCGCTTAGATATGAACGTCGCAAGGATGCGTTCTCGGTGTACTACTCGATTTATCGTTTTAAGGCCTATGGCTTTATTTATGATACTGTATCAGATCGTATTTGTATCTGCATTAATCGGTAAGTTGCCCAAATAAAGCAAGGCTTTCCCTTTTAACTCAATTAGAAAAAAGCCTGCGATGTTTTTTATCGGTTGTGTAAGTAAACGAAAGTTGCACTAAATGTATCTATAGCCGTCATCTAATACGTTAGTAAAACGATGTACCAGCAGTTTACGGGCGGGATAGCGTAGTCCGTGTAGATCTGAAAATACTTCTGGAGCCTATCAACTTCTTATGTTTATGTTTGCATAATTAAACTCTAGCGATCCTATTTTTGCCGTTCGTTACAGCAGCCTTGACGGTAGATAGAGACCAACAGCAGAGAATCAAGTGGGGATCGTAGTTACTACATAGCTAGTATCTCAGAAACCTCAGCATAAGAATCTGAGGCTTATGGCCTCAGATCCATTCGATGCTAAAAAATCCTACCTAGCAGCCCTAATGCTTAAATTTACGAAGCTTCCTGATTACAGAAAGCAAGAATGTTTACGTCTTTCCATTTTCCACGTAATTCATGCCTGCACATCGTGAACCTTGCCGAATCGTACTCTTGTATTCAGTGCAATATTTCTATCACAATTAAAATGAAGTTTGTTTTAGCAGTCGGTTATCCGCGGGAAGCACGCCTGTGTGCAGTGTTAGGATCGCATCGATCGACACGGAAATGTTAAAGCGATATCCATGTGTCAGTTTCCAGTGCGCTACGTAAACAGAACTAGATTATCTCGAGCTCGAGTCTGGGCAGTCAAGTAACAAAGGCACGATTCCATCTCTAGATGACTCTTTTGGCAGTCGCTACATCTCATCTTTCCGCCATGTTCGGGCTTGATGAAATTTTATTTCTAATAAAGCGTACAATCGGAACGCTTGTACAATGCTTTTGTTCCGAGCGCTTCTTCGCCAGGGTCTAGCGTACCAGTTATGCGGAGAATTTCCTACTGGAAGCAAACTTTTGTGCCCATAAGATACAAGGCTGCTTTACAATTCCAAATAAGAAAAACCTCATGTGAGGAAATAGCTTTTCGATGACCACATAATGGACCTATCTAGTTTGATTTGTGGATCCTTTGATGGTTTAGATGGCACCTTAAAACCGAATGATTAATATGCGGCATCGTCTATTCACGTTGCCAGCCATATATGAACGCGTACAGTTAACGGTGACAGAAGGGAAAATCGTACATACACCTGTACTATCTCTACAGGTATTCGAATAGTATTAAGTATCAGATGCTTCATTAAGCGCTCGAATATTGTATACATACGTAATAAGATCGATATTGCATTGTTTGCGGCCTTAATGTTTCTTATAGATTACACGAACATACACATTCGACGTATCCTTCTGCATCTGTAAAACAGCCGTGTACGTGCGTTATAAATTTATTATCCAATAAAGGTTACCATAGGATATGTTACTACTTAGCAACGATAAAACGAATGCAACATGGTTGATACATATTTGTAACAGCAGAGCAATTCCTCTGGCAAGGGTTTAGGTTACCGCAAATGTTCAGACTTTCTTCTCGCTGGATCTCTCTTCTTTTTCTTTCTCCAACTTTCAAAAGAAAATTGCAACCCCAGAAAGGAGCCCGCAATTGTATGGTCCTCCAGTCTCTCGGAAACTCTTTTGAATGATCTGCTTTAAAGAAACTGCTCTTGGCAGCTATGATATAGTATTCGATGGGGGTAGAGAATAGATGGTAACAAGAACTTCCGCGAATCCTGATACTCCTCACCATTCAGCCACTAGCTGGTCTATCGAGTCTTGCTGCGGTGTCAAGCTGCCGTTAGCGCGCTGAATACGGAGGAGCGGGTAGATGCAGGCTTGTGAAAGTGGGAAAAGGAGCACCACAGTGTGTTGGAGGGCTGCACCGACTATGATGACATATTCGGTAAAAGCCGCCCCCTCGACCAAAGCAATGCAGGGTTGTTCCTCTCGGACGTTTCTCTAGATCTACGTCCTGGTTGCCCTGCCCCTAATTCACCCTATAAATCTCCCGCGCACTTCCATCCAGCGTGACAGGCGCCAGTCTCTAGGCTGCCATCAGTACCGTTACCTAAGGCTACCTATTCGCAGCTTCCAATGCCAGGTTCTCACTATCAGTGGGGCGTTTCAGTCACAAGTGGAACAGTTTCTTCACCATTTAACCCCGCAGCGTACTTTCAACGTCTAGCCCATAAGCGCCGCAGTGAAGACCCTTATTTTTCCTATATCCTTTTCGCAAACGTAAATTCTAAACTGTACTATACTAAGAAGCCAGATACATATACGACACACAATGTTTTTTTCTCCATTTAATCAGTCTCCCTCCACTCCTTTCCGAATGACTGTATTTATATTACTATATATATAGAAGTAAGTGCTTGCCACACAAATAAACCTCTGCCATATGTTCAAGGCGACCATACAGTCCCTTTCTATTCCCTCAAAGTGGGCCTTCCTCCACAGACGTTTCGGCATCATCAGATTATTTTTTTCGTAGATAGCATTTAATCTAGGTTCTTCACTGGTTTGTGCGTCCGTGCAAATGGCTACGACAGCTCATCCTTCAGCACTACTTATACACGTATACTTGCAGTGTAAATCCTTCCCAGACTCGTGCTTGCTTTGCCTCCTAATTATTTATGCGTTTTCGCATTGTATTGCTGTTCCGCACTTTACTATCACAGAGTAATGGCAATAGCAGCATCAGTCTGTCAAGCATTCATTCCCGGCAGTGTCTTCGTTAAGCAGGCTGGGCATGACGGAAAAGGGTGGTGAGGAAACCTAAATAATTTAATGTCAACCGCACTGAAATCAACCTTCCAGCGGAACGGACAACACTGTCAAGGTATTTTGGAGATGGGAAGGGGTGTCGGCGTACCCGAATTCTCTGTTCGGTAGTACCGTATGTAGGACGTCAAGAGCTCGGTGATCCTAACTACGCCTGTCATTGTTTAATCCGAGTATGACGCAACCTGATTTGGAAAGAGGGTAGGGCCAGCTACCTGGAAAAACAGGAGATAATAGGAGAAGATGCAAACGTGTTACTGCGAGCGTGTAAATAGTATCTGTGTGATGTGCGGACCAAAGTAGCTTAAGTCGAATGGATAGTCGTTCTGGTAATAATAATAATAACATACGTTCGCTGTTATAACTAGCACATGAGATTACACGAAAGAACAGCGCTACTGAAGCTTTCCTGGTTGTGTGAAGCAGACTTCGGAATTCTAGCGGTCTATCAACCATAAAACGAAGAGGATTTTTTCTACAAGGCCGTTCGTACGTTCTAGCTTCGCTTCCAGCTTCTCTTTCGCCGCTTGCTTTCTTCCAGATCATCGGTTCTTTATACCGAGAAAGAGAAGCATGAACTGGTAATGCTGCGAATACATAATTGCCAAGACAAAAGTGTAAGCTCTAATGATCTCCTAGCTGGTAGACGTTCGAACTGTGCATACACACACGTAGAGGCAAGCAGCTTGCACTCATACACTCCCACTAGCTACCGAGGCTGAGTCCGCGCGCCTCATTGTAGAAGTGGTCAACCTGAACAAAAACAAGCATTAGCTTCTTCTACATACTGCATAAGCGAACCTTCACCCATTACACGTGCATGTATGTATATTACCCTCTAACTCGTTGTTACAGCTGTTCCGGTCGCTGTTGTTGGCCATCCCAACAACCATCGCTACTGCTGTTGTTGTTGTCGATGTTGTTAGCACAGCTCGTGTCGTGCCCACAGCTGCCGTTGCCGTTAGAGGTATATGCCGTTATTTCCGCCGCGTCATTTTGTTTCGTTAGTGAGAAACCCGGCTGCGACTGTTGCAGTCACTGTCAAAGCAAAGAGGGGAAGCTGTGAATGGTGCTAATGTACTTGGTACGAGCGAAGAGCAAAGCTGTTGCTAGGGCAACGCAGAGTACACGTTTGGCTTCGCTAACGAGCCACGGCTTAAACAATTCATCGAGAAACAGCCAGATATGGCAGACAGGAACGATAGTTACTAGAGATCTGCTAATTGCCGTATTCAATTCCCCATCGACTATGTAGGGCAAGCAGCGCCGACTTGCAAACCCCTTCTCAGACCGACTCTGGTTCGCTTGAACCTTCGCGTTCTGCGCTTGTTTTTCGTTATTTCCTCTTGCAACCAGCCGCAAATCAATGAAGTTCATCATCTATATAATGAATATACGAAAAATAGTGTGTATGTATGTATGTATGTATCTATGAGTGTCCGTAGACATATCTGTAGAAGTAGGCCTCAGTTACTAGCGTCAAACGGATTTCTATGAAGAGACAATTTAAAGGGATCATAAAAAAGTACTATATTGCCCTTTTGATCCTTCTGTCTTAGTTGGAAAGTAGGAGCGCTCGCAGATTCTCAGCAACAAGAGGGGACAACAGCTCTTTCAATTACAACTTAAACGTTGAAAACTGCTGATATGGTTTTTTAGGGCGCAGTCTTCAAGCTGATAGTAGGAAAAGTATACATCAGCTCCATTTAGCTGGGTCATCACCGCTGTCGTCGTCATAAGCCAGGAAGCGCTACTGAGGTTTATAGAGGTGTGTTATAAACCAACATCAGTAAATATACGCTCGGCATAAATGTTTTGTTTTAGTAAGGAAATGTGAACAAACGCGATTCAGGCACGAAGGTGGGGGGGGGGGGGGGGTATACTACATGGCCAATCAGTGATAAAGTTTGTGAAATTTATGGGATCAACAGCAACGATTACCACTTGAGGCACCCAATAATCCAGTAATAGGCGACCTGTATCAGACTATAGTTGAATGTTTGTGCATGGCTTCTTTCATACACTCATACTTTAACAGAACTACGCCGCCTGCAACAATTTTTCCTCAAGGTGCTTCGGCACATGTTCCTGACTTTGAATTTGAAAGGCTGTCAAGAGTAGTCTCATGTTAGCTGTGGAATAGCCTTTCATTATGTGTGGTAATAAGGAAATAAATTATATTTATGCTTTTATTTTATGTCCACTTTAGACCAATACATAAGATTAACCGTTATTACAAAAGT